CCATCGGCTGCACGGCGACTGGCTCGGATTCTCTAGAAGTCCGGCCCGGCTTGATTTCTCCTTGGCGCGGCGCTGATTGGTCTCTGTTAGAGCCACTCTATATGGCAGCGTAGCTGCCAGAGTAGCGACACAACGCAAAATTATCTAGATGCACGACGTCAGAAGCGCCTATAGTGATCTCCATTTTGGGCCTGAAAGGTTTCTATGGTAACCGTACTGCTAGCGACGCCGGGTGGCAACCTTTATCTAGTTGATATCTCCATTTGTTAATTGAAAAGTGGTGACAGACCTAAAAGACTTTTAAAGCTCAACTCTATAACCGTTACTACTACTACTAAAAGACGCTTTGCATGGCGGTACGGCACGGGCCTCTGGAGGAGCGGTGCCTGTTTCTTCTGGGAAATGAGACGATTTGCAGCGTGCACGGACAAGGCAAGTGGTTTTCCGCGCCGCCGGGATGGCGGCCGCTTCGTGGGACAAACGAACCGTCCTCGTACTTTCGGACTTCGCTCCTATGGAACAAAATCCAATTACGCCGGCCACGACAGGACGATTGCCTTGGGACATGACTGCTCGACTGCCCCATAGTAAGAGAATGTATGCTTAGCATCATACTTCTTCAAGACCCAATCATTCATTCAAGATGAGATTATCTCACCGACTGGCGAGGAGCGACGTCGACGACGGTCTAACCCTTGTTTGGGCGATGAACAGTCGGCAAGGTTAAACCAAGAAGGACAGCATGGTGGTCTCCAGAGGATTGTTAACGCCGGATATGAGGTGTTCTTGCCGACAAGCCAAGTGGTTGTCCGGAAGTTTACCGGCATGCAAAATGTCAATATTTTTATCTGGCGTGCACGGTTACCAGTGTTAAAGGGGCTATGAAAGGATTCTTTAACTTCTTCTTCTTTAGCTTTAATCCTCAACTCAAAAGAGAACAGTGGAATCACGCGGTCGTGACATGCAAGGGCACCGGTGAGATGACCCCGAACTTTCACCGTGCTTTTTAAGCACACCATAGAACTTGTCATTCGCAAGTGCACTCATCTGCACTCATTGGCCACGAACGCGAATTCAAATGTTCATCGACGAATATATTGTTGACGAGCGCATACGTCCGAGTGAAGCAGTTTTCGTGTCAAATGCGTGAGCTGGGGTCGGCTGACGTCATTTTGGCTTTTGTAAACATTGCAAACAGGATATTTAGAACCATACAAACATGACAGCATCATAGGACACGGACATTAATGAGTACAAAACGGGCCCAGCTACAGAAAATAAATATTACACTTGTAAAGAATAATTGTCTGTAACCTGTTAATTACAAAGACGAACACACCTCTGAGCATATAAATTTAATAGTATGTGTTGATGCATTCTTATAGAGCAGGTCATTTCATATACGTCGTTTGAGCAAACGCCAGCCTGTCACTTGAAAAAAGCAAACAGAAAACACTGAGATCAAATGCAAGCTATTGCAACGAAAGGACGTTTGTCAAAGTCTTCCGAACTGCCAATTCGTAAAATTGCCGATTAGTACAAAAGGTTAAACGTCGCAGGCGCTTCCTTGCTGCAATTATTCGGTGACCCAAGGCTGAAACAACTTCCCCAAAGCCCTACACGCGACGTATACCTTTCGTTTCGATTCTCAGAAATTAAAACTTTTGAAGGAAGCTAGAAAATGCGAAAATGTTATCCTGAAAGCTGTATCGTAAGATCGTTGATTAGTACGAAACGTAAAGATCGCAGGAGCTTCCTCGCTAAAAGTTCGTGATTACGCGGTTACCTCGGGCTGAAACAACTTCCGCAAGGTCAAACATGTGACGCATACAATTCGCATTGATTCTCAGACATTCCAACGTTCAAACAAGGCTAGGAGTATGCAAAAATTGCATGCAAAATGTTTTATCGATCCTTGAACAAATTCCAGGAATCCGAGCACCGCTACGGCGATATGACTGATGCTGTCGCACAGGTATTGATATCCAAAGCGATCTTGCACAGAAAAGGTATAAAGTCACATTCTTTCAGATCTTCACGTTATACCTGCGTCAGAGAGCACGAAGAAGTCCGCAATCATCGGCAAGCAGCGGCACATTACGACTACCGCGCACCGAACAAACTCGTATCCACCAGCTCTGGGCGCTGCCATCTTACCGGTGACATCACAGCTCTTGCGAGGTCGCGTGACGAGTCGTCACTCGGTTGCTAAGGAAACCGAGCCAGCTCAGCTCGTTGCTATGGTACCGCGTGTGACCAATCACGGTGAGAGGCGGCAGAGGGAAAAGCGTGGCGCTACTCTGGCAGCTACGCTGCCATATCGAGTGGCTCTAGTCTCTGCCTGGCAAGCCACTTCCGTCGTCGTCGCCGAGATCTGTCCACGACAGACCTTGACCTGTCCCGCGCCCCGCATTGCTGCGGGCATCCTCGGGCACCTGTCCAATGCCACCTACACTCAAAAAAAAAAAAAAAGGGTGTACACTCTTTCGTTCCATATAATGCACCCCAATACTTCAGTTTGACACACAGCGCACTGACATCGAACTAACGGCTTCAACTTTTGTGAGGGGCTTGATAACGGCGCGACCTAGCTTATTAAACAGCTGAACTATGTATCAAATTCTACTGTAAAAAAAGAAAAGATTTTCGCAGGACGGCCAAGAAAACCTCGATTAATTATTTGTTTTGTTTTTTGTAGACAGTAAAGCGCGATCCAAACCAACGCTTCTTTTCGCGCCTGTAGGTCGTGCGGCTGCGGATGTGACGTATTTTCGTGACGTCGCGCCGCTTCTTCGCTCCTTCCGGGCGCGCACAAGAAAGTTGGTTGATTTCAACTTCTTTCTCAACGCGCACAAAAACGCGCGGTGACGTAGTAGGGCGCTCCTGTGTCCCGGCCAATCGGTGGAGGGCAAGCTAGTTCCGGCTCCGCGTTTCTCGCCGTCTGGCTGCCCTCTCCTCCCTCCCTTTTATTCTCTTCCAACAGGACAACGCGATCTCTCTCTCTCTCTTTCTCTCGCCGTCTGGCCGGCCAGTCTGTCGCAGTTGCACTTTGCTTGTGCGCTCGTGCCTGCGTGCGCGCGTGCGCGCTCGCCCGAAGTTTCGCCCGTCCAAACCAAAGCGCACGGTTCTGACTCAGAAAGCGCGCCCGGAAATAGCAAAAACGCCACGAAATGCGTCACATCCGCAGCCGCACGACCTACAGGCGCAAAAAGAAGCGTTGGTTTGGATCGCGCTTAACACGTACAGTGGCCCAATTTTTTAATAATATCACGCGGGCGTCGACCGCCGGGACGGCCAGCGCTGTGCCGCGGAGAAGTGCACCGTCACGGCAGAGATTAGGCGCGTGCGCACAAAGCTCTCTCCGGTGCGAGAGTCGTCTCCCCAAACGTCACACCAAAGTAGGTCGAAATACTACGGGGTCACTTCACAGCTTTTCCTAACGAAGGGTTGTTCTTTTGTTTTGCAGCGAAGTAACTTCTCTTTTTCCTCTTCTCCCCCCTCTAAATTGGAAACAGCTCAGAACACGTGAAAAATTGCTTATTCTATGGAGTCTTCAGGGACTAACTGAATCCTATCCACTGAAGCCTAATGTCACAGGAACTGCACACCTTCATCGGTACAGTATATTATACACGTATCTATAAGTGCACACTTTATAAAAGGAAAGCGTACTTACCACGCCAGAAAGAGCATCATATTTGTTCTTCTACGATCGCTTTGACCAGGCGCCGTCAGCAATGACCGTCACAAGCGGGCAGCCTTCGGCATCGATCCCACCAGATTCTCTTTCGAGCCTGGCTTCTTCTCCGGCTTTTTTCATGGATTCCAGAGCCGCGGTTTCAATACCCCGAGCCACCGTCGTCTCATGCTTAGCAAGCGTTTTGCACGACATGGACGGCACATTCATCGATGCTAAAAGCTCAACAAGGTTCGATTGCCCACTACCAATGGAAATTATTCCTGACTCCACAGCAGTGTTCACGTTCATGCTGGAACTCGCCTCGGTCGTTCGAGGAGGTAACTCCGACTCGATAACATCTTGTTGCACATCTTGCAAACGAACGTGAAGGATCTGCGCAAGCCGTGCCTCCGTTCTAAAACGAACACCATGTCCGCAAACGAACAACTGAAAGGAGCATGATCGCAAATCCTTTGAACAGATTGAAATAAGTGCATAATGTCGACCAAGCGACGACCCTCGAGCACGGATGCGGCTGGTTGCAAGTTTCCGGACGGTTCGACCGTGAATTCGACCGCATTAAAGTCTAAAACGATACCTGTTCCTGCAGCTTCAGACCGCTCCGAAGAACCGACCACCGCCGCCACGGGACATACCGGGTCCCCTTCGCCGAGGAGCTTTGACGGCGAGCCTCGCACGGTCGCGGCTTGAGGACCACCTTCGTTAATCTCGCAAACAAAACCATCCGGGTTGGAACAAGATGGCTCGATCTCACCAGAAACCTCAACATGCGAAGCTTCCACAGACGGTCGCTTACGAGTATTCTCAATGTGGGACTTCAGAAGCTTTGACGCCAGAGGCGAACGCAACACTTCCGAGCGACACAAATTCGAACGCACCAAACGCGAAGCGCAGCTGCGTTGAATTGCCCGTCACCCGCTCTCGCTCTCGCTCTCGTCCGCGCGAAAGAAGATCGCGTATGAATACAAAACAAATGCGTGCACTAAGCCACACGGAGAAACTATTTGACCTGACGTCCTTGCCAGAGCCATATATAGAGGACAGTTTGGCTAGTGTGTGATCTCGCCGCTTAGCACCGCCAATCACGTGATGACAATGTACGTTCTGATTCGACACGTCGTTGCCTAGCAACATGATGCAAGTGTCACTTCCGGTAACATCCGGGACGCTCCATGCGCGCCAAAACAAGCCGCCATTTTCAATCATTCCACCCAGCCCATACGTACCGCGCTGCAGCCGCGTTCAAGTTTTTCGGCGACGGCGGCGTTTGCTTGGTCTTTTTGCCATGAACGGAAATGCAATGGCCGGCTGCTGTGCTGTCGAGTACAGCAACAGCACTAAAAAAGGGTTCCGACTTTTCAAACTGCCAAGAGACAAAGCACGGCGGAAAATATGGCTGGCAAAAATGAAGAGGAACAAGTGGAAACCCTCTGAACGAACGGCACTGTGTGAGGTAAGTCGATTTTGTTATATTAAATATGTTCCCTATACTGACAGCGCGGAGTACGCCAGAACAGTGGTATATTTGAACTCGACTTAATTTGTAACTTGTTCCCGAGGTAGTAATAGCATGTAAACGAATCGCTGCTCCTTCGCGTACGTCTCACTCGTGCAAGTTAGTGTTTTAGTGTCAAAAGAAAAGTTGTCGAGCGAATTAAAGTCACGCTGCTCTTGGTCGCCATTTGTGGAAAGCCCATTCGAGAGAACCAGGTTACATACACCCTTGATCGATTAAAACCAATCGCAGTACAATACCCCCATTCTAGTCAAGAATCACGCGAGTGTCTAAACCGAATGTCGACAGCTTCGTCACTCAGCTGGCTTTGTTTTTCTTGTTTCCCCTTTGCCGCGCGCTCCTGCGACCTTGTGTCAATTGATGAAGGGTGGTCAAATACATATCCTGTTTGTCCAGTTTGCGTCGAAGTGCCAACTGCTAAGGCCTTCAGGAGTGTTTCTGATCAGTGAAGACAACCGAGCATGCCTAGATTAACTACTAGTTTTAATTTATGGGGACACTTTTAATAGGATCCCGTGGCTTTATCCAAAGTGTAAGAATGGGTGTGGCAAAAATCATTGTGATCAATGTCTGCCTTTGCAGTTGAGCAAAACTAGCTTGATAAACCTCAATGAATGTGTGAGACTACTTGAGAAATGAGAACTCAATTAGTTTTATGGAGGGAAAATGCAGTGTTACTAGACTACACTTTCAATCTCTGAAAATTCTCTGTAGCATGCCTCGCCCAGACCATCAAGCGATTTCGATGGAGCTCGGACCTTGCTGTTGCTCCAGGACTTTGACATTGCAGCTGACTCTGTGGTGAGATCATGAAACCTTATTCTTGCTTATTCAAGCTGACCAAATTTCCTCTTCCAACTTTGCCGTACTGATGCCAATTCCTCAAAATCAATCGCTGTAGCTAGAGCCCACACTGGTGTCAACTGCTTCAGGTTGCTCACCACTGCCCAACACAGTGCAGCAAGTTACAGGGAACACCTTTCAGTCTGTGTTTAAAGGGGCACTCAAGTGATTTTTGAGTTCGTGTTTTGATGATGACAGCTGAATTTAGACGCCCTAAGTATCCCCAAGAACCAAAAAGTATAGTCATACGGTGATTATTTCTTTAATAAAAATGTAACTGAAGGCCGTCAAACCTCGGATCCATTCGAAAACGAAACCACTCTCATTGGTCCTCGCACGCTTATCAAGAGGATCTCGGGCCAGTAGCGTTGGACGACGTTCCGTCGCGCAGTGATCCTGAGGTAGCCGCATCGGCCGAACATCTTCGTCATTCGAGCTTCGATAATGGCGGAGTTCTCTACGCTCGAGGACCTGACGCCGTTAGAAGTTGAAATTCTTCGGCGGACAGCCGACCTTGGGATGATTTCCTATAACGCCACTCCGACGTGCGATGTGGACGATAGCAGTGCTTCGGAGTCATGTTCGGGTTCCGAGGACGACGAAACGCAGACCTTTTCGGGCGTTCTTCGATTTGCGGTTGGGGCAAGTCGTAACCAAACCAACGTTTGACATCGCAGCGTTACCTCTGGTACGTAATGTCAAACGATGTCGCCACGTTGACTTTCGCCTCGGGAGGACGGGGGGGAAGGCTGGTTCAGACATGTGCAACGAGCGCGTACCTACGTCTGCGTCCGTTGCAACCGGAACGACCGCTCTGCGCCGCGCGTACACACACCTGCAACCACTACAACAAGCGCAGCGGGTCGTCAGCACGGCGACCGCTTCTATACGCCGCCGTCAGCTGTTTCAGTGGCCCCTCTAAAAAGGGGACGCACTGCTACTCAATACCGTAACAGAATATAGACAGACATTTTTTATAGCCTAAGGCTTTATTATTCTTTTTTCTTCATAGGCTTGCAGGGTACAGTGGATGAAAAAACGAAAATAAAAAGATGCAAACCGCCGTCTTGGACGATCACGACTCTAATACACGACATTGCAATAGTACAAATATGGCCACACGCCTTTTCTACGATTATAAAAGACAATATAATCTTAGCAGCGATATAGCAACGTTGAAATATGATTTCGTAATCAGCTATAGACGTTGCGGGCGTTCAGGATTGCTAACACTAATCACTTTTCTCCGGGGATGAAAACGCGTGAAAATTCGCAACCTTTATACGGTACGCGCCAGTAATACCTTGAACTTGAGCACACGCATGAAATGCGCCAAATAAGAAATCCGGGCGATGTTCGAGGACACAAATACTTAGAAAGCACCACTGTAGTCGAAGAAAACAAACACGACGGCACGGGCGTTTCTGCTGTCTTGAGAGTGCCGCCACGACATCGCCGCACGCGAAGGTGGATCTTCCCTTCTAGTGCGTGCTGGGTTATCATAGCGACACACGACGAAAATTCACAGTCAAGGATAGCGCTTTTACGCGGAACGATGAGCTTTCACCACGCCGTCCACGCCGACGATCACCACCGACGCCATCTTTGCGGATAGAAGGAGCTGGCCGGCCCGCGACCGGCCCGACCAGCCTGCAACGCGCGGAGATACGTGCGCTTCCGCGCATCCCTGGGGAACGGGAAATTCACCCCCCGCGGAGGAAGGCAAGGAGAAAACGTAGTCCCTTGTTTGTGGAACGATAATTGCAGTATCGCGTATTCTAAACTAGAAATATTTTACGTCTTGTGAAATTATCACGCACAACATATTTAAATGAACTGAAAATTGTTTCTTTAGCGAAACTTTACAAAGACCGCCAAAATTTTCAAACATACGATAATTTTATTGGTCCTCGCAAGTTCAGAAAAGAGTCCGCACGTATTTTATTCCTGCGTGATTAATAGGCGGTTCCGCCTTCTAAAACTGAAGATACTCATTCACATGCAATAATACATGCCAGGGGGTCTTGTCGACGATAAAAAAAGGTGAAGTGTGTGCAGAGAAGCGTTAGGTCACGGCAGGCTTGTGACATTGGTAGTCAACATATCATTACGTCTTGTTGAATGAGTATGTTGTGTCATCCTTCAAGGTGGATAGCAGCAAGGGAAACCCAACACTGGCGCTTGTATGTGTTAGGCTGCTCTTGCAAGAGGACAGCTGCAAACTGGGTTTGTTTTTACAGTCATTTTGCTAGTTAAAAAGTTGGCGCTTCGCTTTGCTTGCATTCGCAGGACTTCCATTGCCTTTCTTTGCAAAACTTTTGGTTGTTGTGTTCCACGTCTTGCGCTTTGGCTTGGCTTCTGTGTTGTGGCGTTTCTTTACTGTTATGCCCATGAAGAGACAGTGCTTACCAGCTCAGGTCTGTCTGGGTGAGTGGTTCTGATAGACGGAACAGGAAGTTCAGAGCAACAACTGGTATCTTAACAGTTGCGGTACACTGATCAGAGTGATGATAAAGTCTTCGGTTCCCCATCCCGGACCGGGATACCTTGTACACTGTGCGAGATATTTATGCGAGGTTCTACTCCGGAAGGATGCTGCTGTAGGAACAAGACTCGTGAAAAATTTCCCCAAGTTCCGACATAGCCTGGCATAATACAAGATATAATGAGGTATATATGCAGTGGTACAGTACAATGAAAGGCCAAATTACAAGGTGGATAACCACTAAGTGTGATGCAGTCGGTTGAAAGGAGGAATCCGTGGGAGTATGGTGCCCGTGGCATTGTTGACCTGTATATATTCATGTGGCGGTCGATATATGCTTGTGTTAACTGACTGCTCGACAAAACGAGTGTTGCTAATTGCGCAAACTGGTTTCGCTTTGCTTTCATTTATGGGACGATCCATTGCCTCGCAAAACTTTTGGCTGTCGTGTTCCACGTCTTGCACTTCGGCTTGGCTTTTGTGTCATTGCGTTTCTTTTCTGCTGTGCCCCTGAAGACGATACAGTGCCTACCAACCCGGCCCTATCCGGGCCAGCGATTTTGGTTGATATAACTAACGCGAGGTTCGCAGCACAACCTACCCACCGGGGGGGACGATGAAGCCTTCGGCTCCCCATCTCGAACCCTTGTACCTCGTACACTGCCGCAAGTCCCTCATGATATATATGCAAGGTTTGACTCTGGCTGGACATAGAGGAGCAAGACTTGTAAACTTGTCCAGAGTTGCAACTAGACGGGCCATGAATTGCGAGGTAATGAGGTACGCTTATAGCTGCATGGTATGCAAGGCCTGCCGAGAGGTGACTTAAATTTAAGAGTATCATTAATAAGCTGTTTATGGCTGCTTGTATTCAACTAGGAATATGGCATGAAAAGGCTGCTGTACCGCTTGCAGGCAAATATCAGAGTTGAGCAAAAGCTTAAAATAATGTGCACACGAAGTGATACAAGGATTGTGGTGTAAAAATTGCAAGAAAAGGCATTCGCTACTAGCGTAAGAATTAACCAGTCTATCGTGTTTTAGTCCAGCCCAACTAAAGTTTGGGAAAGAACTCTTATTCCCAAAGGAACCATTTTCTTATCACAGAACCAGCATGCATGCAGCTAACCCCCATGTCGTTGGCAGATCTCTGGAAGTATGTCCCAGAAAAATTGCAAATAGTTTGGGAGAGGCTCGACTTCTTAAGACTGCAGAAGGCCGAGCAACACAGTGAAGGGCGACTGAATCTGCAGTTCAAGATAGGAGATCAGGTGCCATGGTAAACATGTCTGCTGGGTGATATGGCTAGGGGCTTCGCATCCTTTCAATGTTGAATGGTGAGAACTTTGTAAGAAGGGTTTTCCAACCTCTTTCACATACAGGCTTTGCAGATCTGGTGAGGTGTGTAGGTCTTTTCATGTGACTGACTTAAAGCTCTTTTATGAACCTGAAGGAGTAGATGCACCACAGATTCCAGATGAAGACGACTTTGACCACCTCTTGGGTATTTCCACAGCATGTCCACCATGGTACAGCCTGCTATTTCAAAGAAGACAAACGCAAGGGGGTGTGCGAGCTCTTATCGAGCAGCATTCATGACTTCTTTTGTTCTTTGGGCAGGAAGGAGGGAGGAATTGTGCTTCCATTCATTTGCCTTTGTGGGCGACTCGCTGCCACTGCAGTTGAGTTGGCACCATTTTAAAGCGCAGCCACAAATTGACCAGAAGGGCAGCAACAGTCTCTTTCTAGAACCCACCGCAGCCGCATAAATCCTGGCCGGGAATGCAGTCATTGGTCCAAAGAGTGGACACGACGATCCAGTCTCCCCTGGGCATCAACATGGGCAAAAACCTGGCCGTTGAAGACACCGAGGAAAGAATAACCCCAAGGCATCTTGAGCTGTCCCCTATTCATTTTGCTTGGAGAGGGAAGAAATCGGGGCACCCTGGAAGCACAGAACTGTAGCCCAGGTTGCCTGTATGTTAATCATTCTTAATGATATCCCCCGTAAGGTGGCAAGGTGCAGTCGTCTAACACCAGTGGTGCTGTGCCGCACACAAGAACGGAAGCTGTCTTAATGTATGCACAGGGTTGGGGGAGGGCGTTGCAGCTTGCGGCGGTAAGTGAATAAATTACTTTTGTTGAATTATTGCCTTGTGCCATTCTTCAAGGCTAGCAGCAGCAGGAAAAACCCAACAGTATCTGGTGAATTTTGTTCACTATAGTCAGATACAAGCAAGACTGAGCCAGAGGCTATGCCGCCAGTACGAGATTTCTACCTTCAATAGAACATTGACGTCTTGCGAGTCAAAACGTGACTAAACTCACCGAGCGCACAATGGAGGCGAAGCATTGGTGCATTTTTGGCTTGTATTGGGCTATAACAATCATATACCTAATATGGTATGATCAACGGGGAGACCTATGCAGTGGACATGTTAATTAAGCATCAAATTTTTAAAACTATCAGGAAACACAAACTGAAGACACAGGCACTTATACCAAAAGCTTTTCAGTGTTTACTTGTTTCATTCGGGGACCAGAGGCATCGACTCAAGTGACGCACTGCGAGACCAGCGACTGTGGCGTGCAGCATAAGCCAGACGTTGCCAGCAGGCATAGTGGTCCTGACCATAGGACAAACTTCTTTGCAGGCTATGACACCATTGCAAAGTCTGCCACTGCTCTTGAAGATCTATGCAGTGTGAGCCAAGTGGTCTTTGCTTTGCTTTTAAGCCTACTTCCTATTTCTTCCGAACGCAAGTGTGATGTTTCTATGGAGAACAGGCTACTTCTCTTCCTGATGAAACTGAAACTTGGAATTAGCTATTCATCTCTCGCCATTCTTTTCTCTATAAATGAAACTTCCGCATCGCGGCACTTCAAATGTGTGCTGAAGACCCTTGCCGTGGCAACGAAAAAATGGATTTTTCGTCCCCCAGCTAGAGTTATTCGGGCTACGATGCCAGACAGCTTTAAGCTGCACTATCCAGGCTGCACCATGATTATTGACTGTACAGAGATTCGCACTGAGCAGCCACCAACTGTGCAGCAACAACGAACGCTTTACTCCAACTACAAAGGGGGATATACATTGAAATGTTTAGTTGCTATAACACCAGGCGGCATAATTTGTTTTCACTCCGAGGCTTTTGGAGGTAGGCTATCTGATGCGCATGTCACTGTCAATTCTGTTTTTTTAAATCTGGTTCAGCCTGGAGATGTGATTCTTGCAGATAAAGGATTCCCTGGAATCCGAACAGTTTTAGAAAATGGAAACGCTGTGCTTGTTATGCCACCATTTCTTCATGGACCCCAATTTTACGGAGAAGAGGTTAGAGACACGTACAATGTTGCCCAAGTGCGAATACACGTGGAAAGAATGATTCAGAGAATCAAAGTGTATATCTTAAACAACCGCATTCCGATTGAGCTGATTCAAGGCATGACAAATGGCTTCCACATGTGCTGTATTCTTGCAAATCTTCAGCCACCAATTATTAGGCGTTAGTAACTTCTGCATTCATGTGTCAAACAGTTCACCAAGATATGAATCTGGCAGTGAGGATAGAATGTCGGCTTGAGAACATGGCGTGAATCGGGATGAAAAGGTAAAAGAAAAACAATTCTTTGATTCACTTGAGCACAATGTTTGCGCAATGAAAACTGCCATGTAGAGATTTATTATGGCATAAAAGCTTGTAAGGAAGACAGTTGTGTCTTTCTTCCTAATGAATTTCATTAATTGCAATAAAACCCAGAGGTGCCCACAATGCCATAAACGTCGGCTCATAGAATTTTTTTTTTTCATTTCGATTCAGGTAAGGTCACGTTCTCAACACTGGACCTTTTGTAGAAACATCGGTTCGAGAGTATATGGTTCCAGTACCCTCTCCCTCTTCCTTCTCGCTGAACAGAGACCGAAGATAGTTTCTTTGTGTTGACGGGGCAGAAGATAACGCAGGATGGGGACGATTGCGGATGCACTCCGTTTTTTGAACGATGCACGGTCATCAGTAAACAAAAAGATAAACTGACACGTGAGATTATAGAAGCCCGCGCCATTGGACAATGGGGCTCTGAGTGTGTTAGTGCCCCGTCACTTGCCTTGACGGAAAAGGAGTGTATTTTTCTACTCAGATCGGAGAGCAACGGCGCCTGCAGATGACTCTAGGAACACGTGTAGTCCTCCTCTTGTGTTTCTTTTCTTGGCTTTTGGGCCGGGCAAATTGTGTATTTATACAGGTCGTCAGTGCCAATAAAGCTCAGTTGTAAGTCAGCGCTGTGTGTGTCTACCGCCTTCTACTCTGTCCTTGTCCTTGCGCTGTTTGTTTTCCGCTAATATGAATGACCAACTAGCCCAATCGTCAACACTACTGACAAAGACGAGTTTGGGGGAGCCGTATCTAGGTCGCAGCGCCTCAATGGTGAACCGGATGTGGCCGACGCTTTAGGGGTCGAACGGGTGGGAGAGGCCGTGCACATGCATTGTTTTCTAGTCACTTAAGTCTCGAACCCAGTCGCGTGTCTAGGTGGCAGCACATATTCGCCAAAAGGTCCATTTAGCATCGTGTCCTCTCTGCTAGCGTCCTATCTTGGTGAATTTTTTGCTATGCATAGCTTATTTATTCAGGCCCAAAAACTGGGTGTTATTTTCATTTCTTCCGAGTGCAGATCATGTGCTGCCTTGTATTTTAGGGCACTAGACTAAGAATGTGTGCATTTGCTTGAGAGTGGAGAACCAGCAATACATAATCACGTTTCTCAAGTTTTTTCTTTTTTTTCTTTTTATTGTACTACGAAGATACCTTAACAGTTTTTGAGAAAATGTACATGCTTTTAAGAAGGAATAAAGACTAAAAATACAGTCACTGCCACTGTTAGAGAATACACATTTCACTTGCAGAAAAACAATTCACCCGTTCCCAAACTCACTGCTTAGCAAGGGCAGGTAGAAACCACTTAAAGTAGAAATCTTCCAAAGCAGGAACTGCTTGCTGAAGAAAGGCATATCATCTTTGGCCACTCGAACTGTGATGTCCTGCTTGCTAGAGTAAACGAGAAAAAAAAACACTCTCTCGCATTTAGCAGGTACAGCAGGATCTGAACCTGTGTGTAGTATCTGTGGGACTCTTTTAGCATTATCTTGTTATCAGCACACTGCAGATAGCGTACAATGCTTTGCCCTGAGGCATCAAGTATTTTTTTGTCCTTGCATTTATACGGGCATTTCACCTCGAGCAAGCATGTTTCATCGATGAACTTAAAAATGCCGTCGGGACTTCCGCAAAGCCATGGCTGATCCGGATGCAGGAGCAGGCCGACTTGAAAAGCTCACTGAATAACTAGTTAGAAGCAAACCACTTCATTTATGCCTCCTGCAGCAAAAAGCTTCAACACCGTGTGAACTGCAGGACATCTACAAAAGAGATACAGTGGACCACAGTGCTGCATCATGACCAAAGAGCGAAGATGAGGTACACAATGCATTATTAGAACCCGAGTAAGAAACTGTAGCCGTTGAAACATTGACTGTTATTCCTTCCTACTGCACTGCCATGGTTTAGTGCACATGTCTTTAAGAAAAACTGAAAATTTAAATGTGAGGGTTCACGTGCCAAACTAACTAGGGCCATCCCGCACACCCCAGTGAACAACTGAAGATTCGTTCTGTCCCCCTAGGGATTGTTTGATGTGCAGTCAAAATCTTGGTTACACGGCACCTTTCCCGCAAGAAGTCTCCGTCACATTGCGGGCACCTCGGCTGGGATTTGAACCTGTCAACAGGGCATCCGCTCTCTGATGCCTTGCCTCAGAGACACAGAGGTAGTTTAATAAAAAGACTATGCCACTTATTTATTTTTAATTAAAGCCCCCGTGCTATAATTATAAATATAAATTTATATTTTTATATAAGTTATATAAATATATATAATTTTATCAAAAATAACTATAAATTTGTCAATGCACCAATCATTAAAAAAAATTTTTTTTGCTCCTTTCTAATTTTAGGCGCAAACCATTTTTTGCTGACCTTAGTCACACAAGGATTAGAATTAAGAGTGTCATCTTACCTCTACGACTGCAACACCAAATTGCTGCTCGAAGTCCCTCCTGGCCAGAGGTTCTGTCCGCAGTCCGAAGAGTTATGAATGTTGGAACAAAGAATACTCTGGATATTACAAATACTGGACCCCATATTTTCACATTATTTTATATTGAAAATCTGTGTTTCCTGGGTTTTACTTGTAAGCTTCAAACCTTTTGACTTGCAGCATTCATTGAGGCTTAATGCTTTAATATTTCTCATTCACAATTATAAATAAAAAGCTTTACTGCTTGTTTAGTCATTCTACCAAATGCGTTTAAATGTGGTAGCTTTATAGGGCCATGGTTGGCAGAAAGGGTTTCTAAACAAAATAAAATTTTACGAAAATACTTTGAATGTTTTAGAAGTCTTTCAATATTACGTTGAAAAGTTGAAAGGCATTGAGCGTCAATGCTCAACGTTCCTTCGCATCGATGCACTTCGACGCGAAATACATTGCGTTGATGCTTAACGATCAACACAAAGAATGATTGAATCGTAAAGCGTCAAGCTCGGGCAACCTCCGCCCCTTGACCTCGACGCAGTTCTTCTGATTGCCGGGCCTGCTTGCGACGGTAAGTTGCCACATCCTGGGCTCGATGGCCTCCTGATGGCAGCTGGGCACGCTGCTGTTTCGCAGCCACTGCAGCGACACAACCTGCTGAGCCCATATACCAGCTCGCCATTCACGGGCTGCTTCTGTGCACCATAGTTCTGCTCCTTTCTTTCTTGCCCTTTCCACCCCTCTTCACTTCACGCGCTTTCTCACAACGCATGCTTCTGCTTGTCCTGTTCCTGCGTGCTGGGTCTATAGCTCAGTCAGCAGCACACTCAACTTCCATGCTAATGACTGAGGATCAACCCTCAGTCACTGGAAAAATGACTCTCTTCAAAATCATTTAGCGGTTACGGACTGACCTACAAATTTCGTGCTTATGTGACTTCCGAGGTTGGTTGGTCGTATAAAGCTAGCGTAGACACTACCCAAAGAAAACCATGTGGGAGGAAACGGACAGCCATTTTATCTGAGCAAGATTTACTTGAAATCCACAGGACCAAAAAGCATTGCCTCCTCCTTCCTGCAAGAAGCCCATATGATATAGTCTAAACTGAAAATGAAACAGCGGCAGCACAATCGCATGCATAAACTGGCTTTTGTCGGGACCCAGAAAATCGGTTGTCATGAATGGACCCAGACTATATGCCCCTTTTGTTAATTGTGCAAGGTTTAAAGAGAAACTATAGTGGCTTCTCCTCAGTGCAATCATTAACCTTGTGCAAGACATCTGTAAAATATCGCACAATATCCTTCTTTTTTTTTTCTATCACTACAGTTTTGGGAAGTGGAGTTTCACAGATAAACCGAAGATGAGGAAAGGTTTGCCGACAAGCCTTTTACCGCTTTACCCGAAAACATGGAACTCTAGACATACCATAGGACGTAGCCTTTGAGGAAAATTTCCTCGGTCTCAGGAGTGCTTCGGCAACCTCCCTTGGGCCTCTTCGGGCACTTAGGACTGTGTGGGCAGTTGTGCTGCTAATGCGTGTCTTGCGCTCTTTGTGCCATCTAGATGAAAGAACATAAACGTATGTAAGCAAAGGTACACAGTAGAACATAGGCTTTCAAAATGAGTCACTAGGAGTTTCTTTTAGCTCATCAATTCACTCAACCACACCTGCCTCCAAGTGAAGCATTTTTCCAGTTTCAGCATTATTTAGCAGATCTGAGCTACCCATTGATGCAGAACCCTGAGCCAAGCACTCCCTATTGTGTGCATTATTATTTGCAAGCCCTGCAGCCTTGTGCACTGCATCGATCAATAAACTGGGAGGGGTTCTTCGGCAATCAAGCGAGATGTGCGTGCCCCGAGATCAAAATGTATGAGAATCCCTCCCTGCAGTAGAATACCCTTTTCAATGCTATGCAACTCGGCCTAAGTAATCGCCATACCTTAAGCAGCTCGACTGCCCAATCGTCTCCACGCAGAGCTCGAGCAAGGACTCGCAGATGACATGATTGGCGTAAAATGCACTTTGCTTTGTTGTCAGCTGATGTTTTTTTGGTGTTACAAAGAGCATGGGGAAGTCCCCAGAAATCTCCAGTGCATGTAGTGGCTTCGCTCGTGGCCGAAGGAGCTCGCTGAGTTTGAGCAGCTGAGATGCTCTGATGACCTCTTCTTGTGCTTGGCGGGAAATTTCGGAGCAGATTATCTCTGCCTCATTTTTCGCCATTTCTTGTAGCACTTCGGTGAAAGGCGACACAATGCCCGTGAAATGGTCGAGCACATAAAATGGTGACAACTCGGCTGGCCTTTTGTTGCCTACAAATGCACTGTTGTTACCTGGAGGCAGGAGGACGATGATGACAATACAATATTAAACAATTATAAATAATAGAAGGAAATATTCAACTCGCATCTATT